CTATTTAGCCCCACATGCATGGAGGACACAGGACAAACAGGAGGCCTCGTGAGCCTTTTGGCCCCCATTGACATTGGCTGCCAACAGACTACAGGTCAAAACCCTGTATGCCTCCAGCCTTAGCTCTTCTGCAGACTGAATTCACCCCAATCTGGTCTCATTCCCATTTTTCATTGCCTAATGGAATCTCCATCTGGACCTTCTGGCGGCATTCCTCTGACCAAACACTGTGCTACAGATGACGGAGTCCCAGCCAGAAGGCTAGGAGACCTGGATTCTGCCACCAAGAGGGGGGTGTCCTTGGGCAGGTTGTTTGGGTTTCACCATCCTCCTTGGTCAAAATATAAAGGGAAAGCAAGAATCCATTCTGATTCCAAAAGGAATCAATCACCCTCATTTCCCTTCCCTCTTCCAAGAAGTTCCTCCATGCTCTCATGCTGCTAACAATTGCCTTATTCTTCTCCCAGCAAACCAGAACAAAATGTCAGTGTCCAAATTGACTCCTTTCTCTCTCTTCCAAATCCAAGTAGTCACCAAATCCTACTGGATTTGTTGGAAAGCTCACTTGCTTCCATTCCCTCCTCTCCATTGCTACTACATTCCCTTGATTCATGTCCTAAGCTACCTCCATGAGTTATCCAATAGTCCATCCTCACAAGAAATCCTTCCCTCTCTCTCTCTAACCTGTACTTTATAGCTCCAAATCCTCCTGAAAACACAGCTTTCACCATATCTTATCCATTCTCAAAAAACCCTAAATGTCACTGATGTCATACAATTTGAATTCTTTAGCTCTAGATTTCAAAGATTTACATGATCTGACCCCAGACTGAGATCTCAGGCTCTCCTCTGTTAGTGTCCCCACCCACTCCAAGATTCTAGTCATGTGGGCCCACTACTCTTTGGGCCTGTCTTTCCAATCTTTCAGCTTCTGCTCCTTTTCTTCCCTCATCTTCCACACAAAATGAACTGCCCCTTTTCCTCTTTATTGAAGAAAATACTGCAAAGCCAGCCAGTTCAGGGCCCACATTTACCACAACACTTCCTGAACATCTACTAGATAATGGGCCATACACAAGAGCTGAAGCAGCCCAAAGCAGTTTAGAGCATAGAGAGAACTGCAAACAAGTGACTTAAGTAACACAGCAGAGATCTAAATTTGTTGCACTGTGTATATATTAGAAGCAAAGAGTAAAAACGAAGATGGTAAGGAGTTTTCAAGAATTTGATCAGCATCCTGAAGAATTAATAACAGTTCATCCATCTTGCAGAGCAGAGACAACAGATATTTCCAGGGAGAAGAAACGTGTGCAGAGGCAGGGAGACACATAAAAGCAGAAATGATCGAGTCCCTTGGTTTGGGGAACATTGGAGATGCAGCTGGAGAGCTAAATTAGGGCCAGCCTCTACATTGACTTGAATGTCATACAAGAATGTTATACTTTATCCTATCAGACAATCTCATCCTGTTGGTGTCTACAGATGTGTTACAGAAACCAAGATTACTACACAACATAGAACAGGGTGATTAAAAGCACCGTGCCCAATGAATGCTTAGCCCTCAGTGTGCATACATATATAGTATGAATGTGACAGAGACACAGAGAGGAAATGAAATTACCAAAGAGTACTAAACCAATGACCCTAAGGCCAAAAGAAATCATAAATTTGCTAAAGGCAAAGCTCAGAATGAGCAGCCCTCTGGAATTTTGAGACCTTAAGGAGACTGGGTTTAAAGCTCAACAGATGGCTCTAGGGCATCATTTCCTAGAAGATTATTTACCAGTTATGTGGAAGATAAGAATAGGCCTTGAGGAGATCCACAAGGTCCAACAGAGCTGGCTTTAAGAGAAAATATAGCCAGGTGGGTGGCACATGCCTGCAATCCCAGCAATTTGGGAGGCTTAGGCAAAAGGATCACAAGTTCAAGTCTAGTCTCAGTAACTCAGCAAGTCCCTAAGCAACTTAGTGAGACCCTATCTCAAAATAAAAATTAAAAAGGGTTGGGGATGTGGGCTGAGGCTGTAGCTCAGTGGCAGAGTGCTTGCCTAGCATGTGTGAGGCACTGGGTTGGATCCTTAGCACTACATAAAAAAACTAAACAAATAAAGGCATGCTGCTATCCACCTACAAGTATAAAAAAAATTAAAAAGGGTTGGGGACATGGCTCAGTGGTAAAACACCTCTGGGTTCAATCCCTAGTACCTGTCCGCCTATGCAGACTACAACTCACCTTTCCTATATTCTTGAAAACAGGGACACATAAGTGCCATCAAGCACTAAAATGAAAGCATGATGCTAGAAAACAAAAGTCCAAGGGAAGTGGAACTCTTGAGGAAAGAGGAAGCAGGAAAAATAGTGACTCAGGAAAAAACAAAGCTACCAAGAGTTTTAGCCTAGTTGTGCCCACACCAAATAGTGACTGAGTGTCACATCTTGAATGGAGATGCACAATTTATGGAACTTAATAAATGTTTAAATACCTTGTCTCTTGTGCTTGTATAACTCTACCGTCTCATATTTTGTACTAAGGGATCCACCAGGGGATTTTAAGCAGAAGGGTATCATGAACAGATTTGTAATTCAGGAAAAAAAAAAATATCTTATGGTCAAGTAAAAAACAACTTGTAAATAGTACCATTCCTCAAGTCCAAAGTTAAATTCTCCTAGAACTGCTCCTCCCTCCTCATGTAGTGACTGACACCTCCCACTTCTTAGTCTCCAGGCCTACAGATTCTGTATTTACAGGGTCTCTTGGGTATCAATTTCACCATTCTCTCAGGTCCCAGATAAGGGCTCATTACTTCTACCCCAAATTAGTCTGCCAGTCTCCTAAGTAGCCTCCCCAGTCTTGCTTCCCAAGCATTGCCAGAGTCCACTACAGCCATTCCTACCAGGCAGTTGTCAGAATCTCCTGGGGGATCTTTTTTACAAAATCCCAAACCTACCTAATCTGAACTGTTCCTAAAGCTCCCTCAAGCAAGTCAGTTTGCAAACTACTACTTTAAATTCTTGCTATAGATAATGAATTGATAGCCACCCTCCCCTGAAAAAGTTAGAAATGCAGAACACCAGATCCCACCTCTGAGCTACCCAATCAAATCTGCATTTGAAGGAGATTTTCAGTGAGTCTTAGGTTGTTAAAGTTTGAGAAGCACTGCTTCTCAAACTTCCACAAAACATTTACTGGATTTTCTGTTTCAGGCTGGGAGTTGGGTCAAGGGTCAAAGTTTCAACTTTGAGCTGCTCACAGAACCATAAGTCAATCCTCTGCTTAAAATCATTTGACTCCCATGCCTTCAGACAAAGTCTGAATGAACTTCTTTCTACACCTGGTGTTTTTGGCCACCTGGGACCATGTTCCATCTTGTTACCTGCTTTACTGTTAACCACCCACCATAGGGGCCAGGCTGGACTGCTGGCCACTTGTCACTAGTCTGAGCTTGCCTGCCTCTACAGCTTTCACAGCCTAGGTCACTCCTACTCACTCACCTCTGCCTGCAGAAACCTTGGAGAAATTCTTTGAGGTTCATCACTTATACCACCCCTTCCTGAAATTATCCCAGATTTTTTATGCTTAAATGAAAGATGGGAATTTCCCCACTTTGTTCCTACCTCCTTCATGTAATTAATCTTACTTCACTTAGTCCTACAGACATAGCCCATCTATGTTAGCTACTACAGTAAAGAGATCATGATACTCAGCTTGTTTCCCTAGTAGCAACAAGCTAATGACTGGTACATTACCAAATCTCAAAGTAACACTATTAATGTTATATAAGGGATGGGAGTCTAAATGTGCTTTCAGTAGTAAAGCACATTTGCCTAGCATGTGCAAGGCCCTGGGGTTGAAACCCAGCACCACACACACACACACACACACACACACACACACACACACAAAATCCAGGATGAATGCAATAGTGAAAGACTCACCAATCCCCCTTGTCTCTCACTTCAAGATCAATTAAATATAAATTTAAGCAGAGAGAAATAATTTATAAATCAGATAACATTTAAAATGAATTGTCTATTAACTATACTGAATATACTAATACATGAAAGTATGACTATCCTAATACATGAAAGTATGACTATGACTATACCACTAATAAAAGACTAAAGATGAATTATGACTGCTGTTAACTACCTTTCTGTAGTTGAACATTTGACTTCACAAAACACCATAAAATTTGTAAACATAATAGTTTTGTTTTATAATCAATTAATGAAGGGTAGAGGAAGGAGAGATAAATAGAAAGAGAGAAAACAGACTAACCAAAATTTGGAAAGGGAAACAGATCTCTACCAAATATCCAGCTGCCTTAAAAGATAAAATATAATCGGATTTTCACTGACTAGAATGCCTGTTTTGATCCTACCCAAATCCGAAGTCTCGGGTCTTTAAATATATAATCTTATTTTCTTCTGAAGGAAAACTACCAGTCTGGAGTTGGCATGTCAAGAGGGAAGGAGGGTGCACTCTTAAATAGGACCATCCCCATATTGCAGTCTACTGGGAAGCAGCGACTTGGGCTTTTGAAAAGCATGCTGCATTTTTGCAATTACAATATAGCATTGGTCTTAGCCCGGGCATTGCTTCTGGACACACACTTTTTTGAACAAAGATTTGCCTGGGTGAACAATATTAAAGCTGTCATACCGAAGTAACCACCAACTCCGGCATCTCCAGGACTATCCTGGCACCTGTGAGAGCGCGGGCTGTCTGCGGATTCTGGGCAAAGCGGGGTAAAAATCCCAAGCAAAACCATAGAGTTATACCCTTCTCCCAGTCTTCTGGCCAGAGAAAGGGGAAGGGTTCCAGTCCTCTCGCCTGGGACACCTTCCCGGCCCAAAGAGGCACAGACCTCACGCCCCGTGTGGTTGTTGGATCTAGGGGATCTGTGTCCCCTGGCAATGCTCCTGTGGAGGAATCCCCGTCCGGACAGCGGTGAGCCCCTGTCACCTGGGGGAAGTTCACCTGAGGGAAGCCCACTGACCTGGATGCGGGACCGCCGCTTCTCTCCGGGCAGATCAGGTGTGCGGGCCGCTCTTGTGCCCCTCCCACCTCCGAACAGGAGAGCGGAAAACTCAGTTACAGGCCACCGTCCCACCGACCAACCGTCTGACCAACCAGCAGACCGACCGGCAGCCGCCGGGTCCCGCACCCACGTGACGGAGGCGGAGGCCCCGAGGGAAGCTCGTCCCTGAGCGTCCCTCTCCCACCCCTGGAATCTCCTCCTAAGGCCGCCACTTCGCCTCCCTCTCGGGAACCACAGCCGGCCTCTGGGACCCGTCCGCTGCCGTTCCAGTTCCCCAGGGACCTGCCTCATCTCCCCCGCCCCCTGGGCCGCGCTCCGCGTGCAGGCTCCAAGCCCCGCCTCTCCCGGGGAACCACGCCCCTCCAGGGCCCCGCCCCGCTCGCTCCACCTCCTCCTCCCAGACCCTTCCGGCTGCTGGGAGGCCCCTGGGCAGTTCTCAGTGTTGGTGCTCCTGGCCTCTGGGGTTTCGGTACCCTAAGGACCGCTCCCGCGACGCAAAGAATAAAGCTGAAGAAGCAGGAAGACACTATGCAGAGAATTGCAGGGAGAGAAACACCGAAAACCTTATTAGGGGCACACTCAGCGCAGCAACCCTTGGGACGTCTGTACTTCCCCCACCCAGTGAGCGATGCAATAGAAGTTGAGGTTGGCCTGAGGAGAGCCTCTTTCCTTGTCTGTGAGCCCCGCCCATCCCACGGAATCTGCATATTGGCAGGCCCCGGTCCCGGCCCACCTTAGGTCCGGTTGTGCTCTAACCCCGCGACCTGGGCTGGAGGTCCCTCTAGTGGTTGGTGGCGAACGATAGCTCTGTGCCAGGTCTTGCGAATATCTGAGGACAAGGAGCACTTCCTGGGCCCAGCACCAAGATCAGGTACCGGTACCGTAGGTCCAAGAAAAGCTTTGGCAATGTCTGACCACAAAGAATGATTTCTTCAATCTAGAGTTCTGAGCCCTAGAGACCGATTCCAACATCGACTCCCAGTGTGCAACCTGAAGTCACACCACCAGTTGGTTGCTGTGCCTGGGCTTACACGGACAGGCTGCTCAATTCAGCTGATTAAAATCCTCCGTGAGCCTCAGATGGCAGCGACATTAGGAACTCTGGCACAGTCCCCAGCTTTGGCAGGAGTCACTTACAGCTCTGGCCTCCAGTTCTTTACAGGCTGGAGAGTTGGCAGACTCCATGGGACACATCTTTTTTCAAACCAAATTTACCCTCGTGGTCTGAAATTAACAGTGTGCCCAGAGACTTGTACACGTGAATAGAACATAAGCCACACTGGCAAATAAGAGACGTGTGGTCACTGCAGGAACCTAGCCAGCAGCAGATCAAGGGCAAAGCCAGCAGAGGAAGGCTGGGGCCCACAAGAGTTGTGTTACAGCAAGACACCCTTCAGTTCTATTTTACTTCCTTAAAATAGCAGCAGAGAAACTTTGATAAATGGTGTCTGCCACAGTTCACACAAGTTCATGGGTGTTTCCAAATCCCACATGTATTGCCCCAGGGAACCCACTGTCCTTACCCCAGCCCCCAGAAAATGCTAGTCTGTTCTTAGAACTATACAATTACTTTTTTTTTTTAATTCTGGGGTGGAACCCAAGACCTCATGCCCGCAGGGAGAGCATCTATCACTCTGCTACACCCCCAACTCTACCATTACTTTTAGAAATGTAAAAAAGTAACTGGCTAACTTATCTGCACTTCGGAACCACCTTGCAGGGAAGGGGCTTAAAAAATAATAATGTCTGTGACCCACCCCTAGAGGGTCTAATTTAATGGGCTAGAGGTGTGGCCTGGATATTAGGAATCTTAAAGTTCCCCAGCTCTGGCTATAGTTCTTGTATAGGTCACCAGGACATCAGTTCTCATATAAATCCAACAAGAGACCTCAGAGATGAAAAGTTCACCTGAGAGAAACCCAAGAAGATGTTCCCAGGCCTGTTTTCATGCAGGGACTCTCTCCTGTTGATAACTCCATTCCACTCTCCACTGCAAGGCAGGCCACTTTCTTTTTTTTTTTTTTTTTAACATTTATTTTTTAGTTTTAGGTGGACACAATATCTCTATTTTATTTTTATGCGGTGTTGAGGATCGAACCCAGTGCCCAGCGCATGCCAGGTGAGTATACTACCACTTGAGCCACATCCCCAGCCCAGGCCACTTTCTTTATATCTGTGAGATAGGTAATGTTACTTTCCCACAGGCAGGCCCCAGGCTGTGGGAAATAAATAAATTTATTTATTTATACCTGCCTCATTTCACAACGGATTTGGGCTCTCTGTACTGTTCTGTTAGAATTGTGGGTAATTACACTGTATCTGTAGGTTGAGTCCTTATTTTCTGCCACAGATCTACTCAAATGCTACAGGGGAGAAAAACCTCTTTTCATTGCCCATGGTCCCGGCCTGGACTTGGCAAAGACCAGGGAACAGCTGCAAGCACACAAAGCAAGCCCTCTCATGTGACCAACCTGGAAAGACAGGAGCCTCAGCACATGACACAGACTGGCACCACAGCCTGCACTTGTGACCCAAACTCAGCTGAATTAGACACACACATGGGAACCACTTTGAAGCCCCTCTCAAGAGGCATGCTGCCCTCTGTGCCACACGGCATGCCTGCTGTGGTAGACAGTTGCTTGCCTGTTACCTGGCTTCCATCCAGATTCCAGAATATTAACCAAGGTTCTCTGTGTATTGGGGATTGTTCACAGTAAACTCAACACAGGCAGCACTCCCTAAAAGCTTTCATGATGAGGGTATATAGGCAAATATAACCTGATGAGCTTATTTGCTTAGTGTTACTTTTATTGCATTTAAAGCCAAAAGAGAGAAGCAAATGACAGTAAGGCAAGATGAGGTAGAGGTGGTGTCCTCACCCTTAAGCTGGCTTTCTGGAGGAAGTAGCTTTTGAAAGACCTATAGGAAGGTCTTGTGCAGACGTGAAAACTGACTTAAGAGGGAGACTATTATTTTTAGACTGAACTATGAACACACTGATTATAAATGGCTGGGTGAACAAAAATAAATATTTGATGCTTCCTTGGGCAATGGAAAGACTATGAGATTTGTAGCAGTTTCTAGCTCTTTCATTTTGTGGTTGTGCTACTTTCAACAACTCACCTAGACCCTTTCTTATCTAGAATGGCAATTGTAAAGACTTGTACATATCTCACAGAGTGAGAATTAAATAATATGCAAATACTTTGCAACTAAAAAGTGGTATTCAGATGTTAATGTTTTTACTCTATTATAATATTTACTTCACTTGGTAGAAAGGCAAGACTAGGGGAAATAAAGATTAAACATCAATAAGAAATAGTACTTTAGTTGGGCAGTGAAAAATGAAAAAAAATATTTATGGGTATTTGGGAAAGACAGAAGAGGAGTCTGAGTATCTGTGGGGACATATGATTCTAACTGTTAAGGGATAAAGGCAGAGTTAAAGCAAATGCTGGAGAACAAAAAAGAAAAGTCTAGAAGTCAGCAGGACCAGAATGTAGCTGGCCATGAGGGCCAGGACATGTGGATAAGTAATGGACTTTGTTGAAAATTCTCCAATGATGGACTCTCATTTATGCTCTTGGAAGATTCCTAATGCAGTACCACCTGGGAAAGGATGCATATGTATTCCCACTTCTACAACCTATTCCTGTGTGTGACCAGAGTGATACTACATTGTGAAGAGGTTGTGGTCTCAGTGTCCCAGAGAGCAGCTGCCAAAGCCATGATGTTACTCTCCCTCCCTCCCAGTTGCAACATGTTACTCCAGAGGCAGGTTTCTCTTTGTCTGGAGTCTGTAAAGGATCTGGTTTCCTTCATTCCAGGCATAGAGCTGCTTATCTCTGGGATTGTAATGGATCATGGAATGGCTTCTTGGCCGCCTGGGGAAGAACAAGTTGGACAGATTCTCCTCCCTGATAGTGTCCAGTGGATCATAGATGCAGGTGATGCGATGCGGGCCCTGGCCACCAGAACTGTAGACTACATAGAGAACCCCACACATGAGGAATGAGGCTTCAGCATCCTGGCTTCTGCAAGGAGTATCCCATGAGTGCTCCACTCCCAGTGTGCCAGACTCAATTTTTGTGAGAACCAAATGGCCTTGGATGCCTGGACCTGAGTGAATGGCCCAAAGCCCATGCTCATCCACAGCCAGGTCAATGTAAGTGAAAGGGGAGTGCTGGTAGACCAGTGCCCGGCCTGCCCCTCCTGGGAGCAGCATTCGATCTTCTACAGTCCTCTTCTGCAGATTATATTTGATTATCTCATTTAAAGTCCCTTGGTTGTGAAAAAATAGAAAACCTCTGTAGATCACCTGGCCTGATCCCTGCCAGGAAAGTGGTAGGTTTAGCTTCCGGGGAGGGGGTTTGGTGCTGTCCTCCATGAATGCCCGCATGTTTGCAAATTCCCAAACAGTGTTGTTTCTGGATCCAATTAAGAAATATACTTTTGGAGAGTCACTGCCAGCATCTTTCATCCAAGAGCCATCTGTGTCAATAGTCTTCTTCACTATTTTTAGAGACTTTATACTCGTCAGCATGTTATCACAGCCTGGCCAAACAGGAGAAAAAGGAGAGATTATTTAACATGAGATGTTTACTTTTGTGGAAGACTTACTATGCCTGGAATATCCTGTTTCCTTTCAGTTCTAATAGTGATAGGGAAAATTCTCAAGTCTACTATAAAATTATGGTCCTTAAAAGAAGAGTTCTCCTTAGGGAAATCCTAGGGCAAAAATGGAACACAGGTAAGCATTTCATGTTTTTCAGATAAAATGCATTGAAATTCCAGCATTAAGCCAAGCTCACTCTTTCATCTCTTATTTTCACAGATTGATTTTTTCCCCATATGGTTCAGAATAAATTTATTACATGAGTTATGATATGATTCAACGAATCAGAGACTAAATGAAGAATGGGTCTTTGGTAAGACAGTTGCTGTCCAGTTTCAAAAGTTAGCCATTTTATTCACTTCAGGATATAAGCAGCCCCTTGCTGTTTCAGAGACCCTTATCATTCAAGAGTACATAGAATTGGCACAGTGAGAATGACATAGGTGTGAAGACATGTAATTCAGTTCTGTTTACCAAGATTTTACTGGGTATCTACTGTGTATTTAGCTTACAAGCTTCTCAAAAGAGTGATAAGATTTGAGGATAAAAAATATATATATTGGTCCTAAACCATGAGGAGATATCTTCTATTGAAGGATTCTGGCATTCTGAAAAATTCTTAACATTGCTGCAACATTGTAAGAGCTCAAATCATCCATTTGTGGATTTATGGATATATTTAGTCAGAGACATTTAAAAATCTACAAGGCTAGGTGTTATGGGGTGAGGTATAATGGGTAGAGATGCAAAGATAAATTAGGCATGGTTCTTTCTTATTAGGTGCATGCTTAGTTAGGATGTAAGATTGAAGGGTTTTTTGTTTGGGTTATTTTTGTTTGTTTTTGTCTTTTTTAATATTTATTTTTAAGTTTTAGGTGGACACAATATCTTTATTTTACATTTATGTGGTGCTGAGGATTGAACCCAGTGCCTTGAGCATACTGGCGAGCACTCTACCACTGAACCACAACCCCAGCCCTGTTTTTGTCTTGTTTTTTACAAAAGAACATACATAAGGGAGATAACATTTGAGGTAGGGAAGAATCTGCATTTGATTTGGCCCTTGAAAGATAAATGAAGGGCTGGGGTTGTGGCTTAGTGGTAGAGCGCATGCCTAGGATGTGTGAGGCCCTGGGTTAGATCCTCAGCACCACATAAAAATAAATAAATAAAATAAAGATATTGTGTCCAACTACAACTAAAAAAACAATATTTAAAAAATTTAAAAATGTAAAAAAGAAAGATAAATGGAGTGGAACTCTGTAAAGAAGTAGAAAGAACATTCTAGAGAGTTAACAAAATCACTTTCAGGAAAGTCCTCCAAGATTAGGAAATGGAATGGGAGTATAACTCAGTGATAGAATGCTTGACAAGCATGTGTGAAGTCCTTATTCAATCCCCAGAGAGAAAGAGAGATTAGGTAAAATAATACCTAATAAATTTAAACCAATACAACCTAAATCCTTAATATTGTCTCAACTAGATGCAAATACCAATGAGTAGATTGGAGCCAGCTCTATTGCCTGGAACCTTGAAGATGGAGCTAAAGAATCTGGGTTTTATTCTATTGGCAGAAATATAACTATTGAAGTCATTGAGAAGGAAAAGACTGCCAAGGCTGTTCCATAGAGTAAGCTGGTAGCCTATGTATGATAGACTCACGAGGAAGAGAACAAAATCAGGGAGACCAATTAGGAGGTTATTTCTATAGTCCAAACAGGATGATAAAGGGTCTAAACTAGGTGGAAGAAGATGAAGTAAAAAGAAGGGGTTTACATTATTCTAGCTCTTTACTGCCATTTCAGAGTATTATTCCTCCACCTTCATGCATACACTCTTCCTTCTTTGTATCCTTTTCTTCTCTTTCCTTTTTTTCTTTCTTTCATGTGAATGTTTGTTACTAAGGGTTGAACTTAAGGGCACGTAGAGATAGGGCCTCTCTAAGTTTCTGAGGCTAGCCTTGAACTTGGGATCCTCCTGCCTCAGCCTCCTGAATTAAATGACAGTTTGCGCCACCATGCCTGGCCTCTTCTTTGTATCTCACCCTTTATGTTTCAACTTCTCTTAGCTTAATTGCTGATTGTTCTCCAGTACACTATGCCATATGCACAGAGTACTTCTTCAACTCCTTGAAAACTTCCTTTTAAACCACTTTAGCAAAACCCTTCAATGGGCATATTTTCAATCCCCCAACCTCCAGAACCGTTGTATGTTAGAAATCAACAATTGTAATATCCCACCATTCCAACAGTATCTTACCCTTCCATTTCTCCCTCCTTGTTTATTTGAAGTGCTGTGGATTAATAAATCTCTTTTATTTATTTTTTCATGGAATACTATTTTTATTGGTGCAATATAATTATGCATAATAGTGGGATTCATTATGTCATATTCATCCATATACATAATTTGGTCATTCTCATTTCCTTGTACCTTCCCTTTCCTTCCCCTCCTCCCTCCCCCATCCTCTTGTCTGAGGATCTCCTTTCCATTATTATCAGTATCAGTATTTTAACTAGTATCTTACAGATTTCATTTCCCAGTACTTCCCCCATGCCCTCCCCTCCTCCCTCCCTCTCAATCCCCTTCCTTTACTCTATTGGTCTCCCTTCTAGATAAATTTCTTTTAATATCAATTCCTTAAGAGGTTATGACCACTTTAAATATGTCCACCCTAAAATTATCTACTAGAACACCTTTCTTATTTCTTTGAGATCACTTATTTTTATTGATAATTTTTTTTGTTTTATTTATAAGCTCATTGTCCATCTCCCCAACTAGACTCCACAAGAAAAAGGCCTCTGTCTTCATGTTTAGTATTGTGCCCTAATGACTAACTCAGTGCTTTGAAGGTTCTGTACATGTCTATTGAATTAATACAGAAAATAGTTTCATTTAAGCAGATATTTTTCCTAGGATCTAAATAGCACTGCATATCCTGAGTTCTGACCACAGGCCCATCTTAAGTAAATAATCACTTGAAAAGTACTTTAATGCTTTTAAGACACTTTCAAATCCATTATTTTCACTTAAAAAAAAAATTCCAACCTTGTGAAGGGAACATGTGGCAGATGTAGGGGTGGGGAGCAAGTGAATCTGGGAAGAGCTGAGTCCCAGTCAGTCCTTTCTGTGGTTATGTTACTACTGGCTACTCCCAGAGGCAGAGAGACTTTGCCTGGCCCACACTATGGCCAGGGAAAGACTTGAGGGTAAACTACAGTAACAGTAATCTCTCAGCCATCAGCAGTCACCATGTCTCCATGCTGACAGGCTTCACCAGTCTGAGGACTTGCTTTCCTTTAGCCTCTAGGTCACCACTTTCCTGAGTGTCCTGGCCTATAGGAAGCCAGAGTCCTGGGAAGGCACATGGGAACCTTATGTATTTCAGGAGCAGCCAAGAGACGGACTCTTTAGTACTCTTAACTACTAGTGGCTATAGCATTTTTGTGAAAGAGGACAAATGAGCTGTGCTGTTTACAGGACCCCTTCTCTGCTTGAGCACAGGAGACCTTTTCCAGTGCCACAAGCTCAGCTTGTCTGATGTGAAGCTTCTGCTCTTCCCAGATCCTATATTGACCATAGAGGATAAATGAGTGAGGCTTTAAGCCTGCAAGGACTTTTATGGAGGAAGAGGGGGTCCATGGGTTATTAGAGAAGCCTAGAAGCTATTCCTTATTAAGGAATGAGCACAGGGCTGAAGAAGTTAATAAATGTCTGACAATAAATAAAATATATTTGATAATATTCTAGGCTCTTTGTATTAACTTATATAATTCTTATGAATTTCAGTGGTAGATAGTTTAATCCCCCTTTTCCAAATGAAGAAAAATTAAGGCTTGCACAAGTTACTTGGAAAGGTCACTCAGCTATGGGGAAGGAGTCCTCTGAGCTCAGTTCAAGCTGAAAGGCAGGAGCTGGGGCACCTGTGTCTAGCCTCAGCAGCATATTGGTGAGCGTGTATGGTGGGAAGGGGAGGAGAGTGATATGTCCTGGCATGAGGGCCATGGACCTCTGAGGATGACAGGATATCTGTCTTGACTAGGTGCCCCCCTGCCTACCCATCCTTCTATCTGGGAAGAAGGCCAGCAGGCTTGCAGCCCAGCTATGGAAGGACTGTGTCTAAGAATAAGGCACGTGAATGTCTTACCCAAAGAAAACATTCATTTAAAATACAGAAGAAACAAACACACACTTTCTTCCTTTTCCTTCTATGCCTCCTTTCATTGAATGCAGAACCCTTAGAGAAATAACAAGACAGTGCTGATATATGGTTAGGATCAGGGAAATGCAGCTCTGGGGAAAAAGAAAAAAGAAATTCTCCCATGTTCTCCCTCTGCTTTTACTACCCCTTCCTTTGTAGATGGAACCCAGGGCCGGGAGTCAGAGACCCAAATCCAGAACACTGTATCCCCTAAAAGTCCCTTTGTCAATTCAGTCTTGGTTCTACCATGAAGGGTTTTAGGCTAAATGCTCTCTCATTTTCTTCAGGGATGATCTTCTATAAATATTATAAGTCATTCTTCTTTTAGAATTTAGGGAGAGTACATTTTCAGTGTTTCAGTAAAGGAGTAAGTTAAAATTTCCTGCTGTGCTTATCTTGAGAGGAGACAATTAGCAGAAGGAAAAAGTTGAAGAAGGATTGGAAATAATAAATATAAAACCTTTGAGTCCAGTCAAAATGCAAATTACTTATCAGAGACAATGGCATGCAAGGTTTTACCTGCTAACCAGAGAAATAAAATCTGTTTCCCCCCAGGCAGAATTGCAGACAAGCAATTAGGGTCGAATTTGGCCCAAGGCCTCACAGTGAATTCTTAGGCAAATATATCATTTATTTGAATCTTTTAAAATATTTCCCTTATTTTATATAACAGTCTCCAGGCCTGGTGAGATTTGTCCCTCTCTAAGACAGAGAGACTCACTCTGAGTATTAGAAATA